ATAAGACAGAAAGGCCATTGATAGATCCACCCGAGATACCAGAAAGATGGAGGGAATACTTCAATGAGCTTTTTAATCCTCTAGGAACTCATCAGGAAAGAACAACTGAAGAGCACAGAGCAACAGTGTAAGAACCACACATACTAATGGATGAAATAGAAAAAGTCATTAAGCAGTCTCCAAAATATAAAGCACCAGGAGCTGATAGATTACCAACAGAAATAATTCAAGCAGCAGGTGAAAGCAGAATCAGGTGGCTTCACAGAATATTTAATGCAGCAGGGGTACAACAAACTGCCCCTATTGATTGGCAACATGCAATAGTTATACCATTGTGGAAGAACAAAGTTAGCAAACGAGAATGCGGTCAATACCGAGGCATCTCTCTTTTACGCCATGTTGGCAAAATGTATGACAAGATAATAGAAACAAGACTGAGACCAGTGATAGAACCACAGTTGGCAAAAGAAAAGATGGGATTTAGGAGAAATAGAAGCTGCACAGATGCAATCTTCACACTTAAACAGTTAATAGAAAAGAACATTGAATACAATAAGAACTTATTTGTTGCATTCGTAGACCAGGAGAAGGCATTTGACAGAGTCGACAGACAATTATTATGGAAAGTAATGGCAAGATATGGAGTAAGCGAACACCTCATCGAAGTGTGCAAAAGTTTATACAGGGATTGTAGAAGTGTAGTTAGAATAAATCAGGGAACATCTCATCCATTCACAGTAACATCTGGAGTAAGACAGGGGTGTATCTTATCACCACTGCTGTTTATCACCTACATCGACAGTATATGCAAGAATGCCAAGCCCATGAATGAAAATGTTAGTAAGATCAACGAATTACTCTTTGCAGATGACCAGGCCTTGATAGCAGATACAGCCATGAAATTGAAAAGCATCTAACATCCATGAATGAATAATGTAAAACAAATCATATGAGAATCAACACTAAAAAGACAGAAGTAATGTCAATAGGAAAAAATAAGACAGATCTAAACATAGCAATAGAGTGCAAAGGCATTAAACAGGCATCTGAGTTTAAATATCTGGGAACTACATTTACCGAAGATGGAAAATTGGATAAAGAAATTAACATTAGATGCAGTAAAGCAAACCAAGTATTGGGACTGCTAGCCCCCCTCTTACAGCATAAGTCAATCCCAATCAGCACAAAGAGACATCTAATTCAAAGCATATTTATTCCAACTCTGTGCTACCAGTGCCAGACATGGTCACTCACAACAAACCATAAAAGAAAATTAGTAACCACGGAAATGAGATGTCTGAGAAGGGCTGCAGGAGTGACCATAAGAGATAAGATCAGGAATGAGATTATAAGAGAAAAAGTCGGCACAGAACCAATTCTGGATTACATATGAAGACAGCAAGTGAAATGGTTTGCCCACTTAGAGAGAATGCCTTGTAACACCATATCATACAAAGCATACGTGGAAAGAGAAGAAGGACGTAGAGCACGGGGTAGACCAAGAACAAGATGGAAGGAAAACATCAGAGAAACTCTACAACAGCACGATGTGCCTATGGTCGTTTATTTATAAGAAGGACACGACGGTCACCTTGCCAGAGGCGCTATTAGTATCTGACACCCCTGACCCCCCCCCCCACCCCAACCCCCCTTTGGTACTTTGTAACTGTCAGCAATCCCAGCGTAACCCTACAGATAAACGGGGTTTCTGGGATTTGTACCGGGGAAAGGGGGGGGGCGGGGTTCCTCATCCGAGTAATGATGCACTGCACTTTGCGTAACATGTTTTTTTTTTTTTCGCTCAGTGTGCGAACCTAGTTGTGTTCACTTTCACGCACTGTTTGAAACTGTTGTGGCTTCTTGTCTGAGTGAGGACTTCACATCAAATTATGTCCTATTAAAAACTGTATAGTTTAATAATTGTTCAGAAGTCCCAGTACAAACAACACAGGTGTGTGTGTGTGTATGAGTGTATAAAGGGGTGTCTGTTTATTTGTTATCATGAACAGTTTACAGGGACCATTTTTGATTTGATATATATGCACTCATTATCATATTATGGACATACCAGAGACATGACATGTCTAGAGGTGTTATGACATGACTTCTCTAGAGGTGTTATGATATGACTTCTCTAGGGGTGTTATGACATGACTTCTCTAGAGGTGTTATGACATGACTTCTCTAGAGGTGTTATGACATGACTTCTCTAGAGGTGTTATGACATGACTTCTCTAGGGGTGTTATGACATGACTACTCTAGAGGTGTTATGACATGACTTCTCTAGAGGTGTTATGATATGACTTCTCTAGGGGTGTTGAGACATGACTTCTCTAGAGATGTTATAACATGACTTTTCTAGAAGCGATAGGACATGCCTCCTCTGAGGTGTTATGACATGACTTCTCTAGAGGTGTTATGACATGACTTCTCTAGAGGTGTTATGACATGACTTCTCTAGAGGTGTTATGACATGACTTCTCTAGAGGTGTTATGACATGACTTCTCTAGAGGTGTTATGACATGACTTCTCTAGAGGTGTTATGACATGACTTGTCTAGAGGTGTTATATGTCATGACTTGTCTAGATGTGTTACGACATGACTACTCTAGAGGTGTTATGACATGACTTCTCTAGAGATGTTATATGTCATGACTTGTCTAGATGTGTTATGACATGACTACTCTAGAGGTGTTATGACATGACTTCTCTAGAGATGTTATGACAGGACTTCTCTAGAGGTGTTATGACAGGACTTCTCTAGAGGTGTTATGACATAATTTCGTGTTGGTGTTCAAACAATGTGCGAGAAAGTGAGTTCACCGGGTCGACAAACCCCTATAATATGGAAAGGAAACATTTTAGGACATGCTTGTCCCAGGCACCCTCCCTCTACCCCCTCCCCCTTTTTTTCCACGTGGGCCCCAAAGCCCACACGGGTGTAGGACACGTGATTTAAAACTAATAGCATGTATCATCATTTCTTAACGAAGTGAATAGTTAGTTCCCTTCGGAAGATAAAGTTATGGGGAAAAAAATACTAATAACCATTGCGTTGTATTTGTTTTACAGTGTACAATTATTCCAGAAGCCCTAACAGCTGTAACAAATTAGACCCATTGTTACATCGTCTAGTGACTAGAACATGCGTCAAGCGCCCTCATTGCTACTTATACACTGTGACCTCTGGGTAGCACGTACTTGACCTTTGATACTAGGGATCATTGAACCTTGATCAGTACACAAGGAATGGTCTGAGGTTGGTGCTAATACAAATAAACAACTACAGAACGCAAGTGTTTAAGTCATTCAGGAAAGGTCAACAGACTTAGTCTTACAAATTAGCAGGCCTCATACAAGTTTTTACTGCATAAAATCTTGATACAACGAGTGGGTGAATGAAGTTAAACCCCACTAGGACCGCACACTGAACGTTTAACACCGGTATAACACAAAGTTCAAGCGGCACTATGTGTTTCTTCTTCTTCTTCTTCTTCTTCTTCTTCTTCTTCTTCTTCTTCTTCTTCTTCTTCTTCTTCTTCTTCTTCTTCTTCTTCTTTCTTTCTTTCTTCTCTTCTTCTTCTTCTTCTTCTTCTTCTTCTTCTTCTTCTTCTTCTTCTTCTTCTTCTTCTTCTTCTTTTTCTTCTTCTTCTTCTTCTTTTTCTTCTTACCAGCTGTAAACTCCGCGGACATTTCTGGTTATTTATCCACTTTTGAACTTTAGACTTGTTCCAGAACCTGAGTGTTGCGTGCACATTCGTTTTACAGATCATATTTGTTTTTATGCATACTATTGGTTCATCGTCGCTCAGACGCACTCCGACTACGAAAGAAACACTATATTTATTTTAACCTTTAGAGGCCTATTCAGGCTTAATTCATTAGCGAATTTTGCCTCATTCAATAGCTAATTTAAATACATGTTAAGATGTCAGTGTAATTCATAAAGATTGTGTTAGTTTTTTTTTTTCTGACATAATAATATATAGTTTTGTATATGTGAAGTAAACGCTTTATTTTTTATAATTTGTGTGTGTGTGTGTGTGAGTGAGTGAGTGAGTGAGAGAGAGAGAGAGAAGAAGAAGAAGAAGAAGAAGAAGAAGAAGAAGAGAGAGAGAGAGAGAGAGAGAGAGAGAGAGAGAGAGAGAGAGAGAGAGAGAGAGAGAGAGAGAGAGAGAGAGAGAGAGAGAGAGAGAGAGAACAATCCTCAAACCTAATTTCTACAGGAAGCAGACTGGCCACTCACATTTTTGTTTACCTCGCAAAAACTGTTCATGGGGACCTCAAACATTTACTACACACAAACTAGTCTCAGCCCCTACATTGTTATTCCAGGCGGCCGCGGATTGGCCAGAAAAAAAGTGCTACAGAATAAATAAACTTGTGAGACTTAAGTTCTTTATTGTGTGACCTACTATTGTTTCCGTGAGGCCTGGTTGTGTAAGTAGCGGCTGTCGCTGTGTTTTTGTCGTTTTGTCGTTATTTGATCCTCGTAAATATACATTCTCTGTGCTTTCACTGAAATTTAGCGTTTCTGTTGCTGATGCTGCTGCTCCTACTGCATCTCCTACTACTACTGCTACTGCTACTGCTGCTGTTGCTGCTACTACCACGGCTGCTGCAACTGCTGCTACTAATGCTAGTACTGCTACCATCACTGTTGCTACTAGTACTACGATTGTTTATTCTATTCCCGTTTCTTCTTCTTCTTCTCTTCTACTCCTGCTGCTGTTATCCCCACCACCACCAACACTATTACTACTGCTTTTGTTACTACTGCTGCTCTACTACAATTGCTATGGAACATATGGAGCTTTTGAAATGGAATGAGAAATAAAACCCCTACCTCTTTTTCGCAGTACTATTAGAGGCATTAGTTCACTGGCTTTGAGTTTTTATTACAACAAGCGTCGTACCTAAATATTTTAAAAATCGTGCAAATAAGTGAACTCGTTATCTGAATTTCTTTTAAAATTGTGACTCACACAGACATTGACGATGGGCGGGACATACCTGGTACTTCTTCTCATGGCGTCATTTTGCTTATGGACGTCTGCAGATGTGACATTGACCCAGACAAGGTTCAAGGCCGCAGTGTATGGACATCGCGTCATCCCGCCACCCCCTGGGATTGTGTCCCGAGCCGACGCTGTACGGTATATGAGGAGGAACTTGCATGTTTTTGCAACTCAGGCAGCGGAAGCCAAGGCACAGGTGAGTTATCTAGTTTTATTCGTGCAACTTTAGATGGCTAGGTGAATGTGTGTACAGAATCAGCGTGCGCGCGCTCACACACACACACACACACACACTCTCTCTCTCTCTCTCTCTCTCTCTCTCTCTCTCTCACAGAGAAAGATGGCTTAGGCCGGTAATTTCCTCCTTCTTCCAAAGTCCAGAAGTGGACGAACAACTTTCTTCTAGAGTTAACAGCTGATGTACGCGTAGAAGAAGACGATCATTGTCACTATCATCATTATCACCATTGCCACCCCCACCGACACCTTCATCATCGTCGCAACCACCACCATTATTATTATCATCATTAGAAGCATGGTCGTCACCACAAAGCATATGGTGTGGACTGTGAAATACTATGCAGTACTTTTGCCTATAGTCTCCCCACACAACAATAAAGCAGTAATGTCGCCATTCCCTTGTTTCGTTATTTTGAAGCCTCATCCTGGTTTTTGCCAGGGGCCCTGAAAATAACCAGGCCTGAAATATGGCCTAACGGTTGAACCGGGATTCCAGGACCTCTCCACGGTTGATCCTCATCCATTTGGTGGGACTTTGTGTCACCGGGTGTTTATCACTTGTGACATGTGGGGTAGAACTTACATACATACGTACCACACAACAACTGAATGAACCTAAATACTAGGATGGATTCGGATCCTAAGGTGGACGGTTTGGTTAAAAAACAAAAAAACTGCTTTCATTCGTTTCGGATAGTGGTACGAGAGTGGCACCGAGGAAGATTTTGAGACTTCACCACATAATATTTGCAACGATAGCAGTGGTACTCTGTAGCAAACCTTCATTGTGGGAACCACACATTAAAAATAGTTACATATATTTGTCTACTTTCATAAACTTTTCCAGGCAACCTATGTAGGTTTCTCTTTGCTTGTAGCCATAATGTAAGACTGCATCATTAAACCTATCACCTGTCTTAATATCTCGCACACACACACACACACCTACTTCTCTCTCTCCCGACATTATAATTAATTCATTGACCTCTTGTTCTAATGTATGTCACAAGGAGCTCGAGGTCTGCTTCTCATTTCCGTCCTATCATGCGCGAATAATTGAAGGCGGCTACGATTATCGGATGTGTGAAAAAATTAAATTAAAAAAAAAAAAAAAAATAAACTTCCCAAGCGGGGAATCGAACCCCGGCCGCCGCGGTGAGAGCGCGGAATCCTAGCCACTAGACCACTTGGGAGATAAGTTTAATGTTTCAATTAACTATAATATACAAATTATTTTCGAACTAGTGGATTTTTCAAAATGTGTGCGTGTGTGTTTTATTTACATCAGTAAATGTATCATTTTTATATCAAAATTGCTTTACTTCCCATGACTAAACGCCAGTTCTAACCTACGGACGTGACGCCCATATGTCCTGAAAGAGGCGAACGCTGAAAGACAACTTATCACATACATCAGAAAGAGACCGTCATCATTTTTTTGGTCGTGTTATGAGAAGAGGGATAATGGAACATGCTGTGACAACTAAAAAGATCTGTGGAAAAAGAGACAGGACGACAGAGTGCACAGATTCCTGGCTGTTTTTTGTTGTTGTTGTGGCATGGAGGGGTGGCAACACACGGACTGATACACGCAGTTGCAGATCGCAGATTGTGGAGAGGCATGATCGTCTACGCCAGTCGACAAGGCACTTGATGATGATGGGCATTGCACCAATTTTTGCTTTAAGAAATAGGAAAGAGACAGGAGAGTTTTGCAACAACTCTGTCCTTAGGGAGCTGTTTCGAAAGCGAAGATTTATGTTTTTCAAAACTGATCTTGGCTCCCGGGTCGACCCTGCTTTGAGTTGAGTGGGTACCAGGTGAAGGCAGGTGGGAAGTAATGGCGGCCGGCGTGAAGCTGCCCACATCACCCACCAGGTACCGATTGGCCTATAAAATAGGCCTAGCGTTTTACCAGACCACACAATGGAAGTGAAACAGCCAAGTATTAATCGCCAATTAAGCAGAAACAGAAAGCACAAACCGAAAACCCCATGAGACATTAACATGATGGATCACCACAATATAACCAAACTGGGCGGAGAGCTTGCCTCTCCGGCCCTAGTTAAACGTGTTATTCGTTATTATCAAATCAGTTCTGGAAAAGGAAGGAGGAGGAGGAGAAGAAGAAGGATACAAAGGAGAAAAAAAGAAGAAGGAGGAGGAGGAAGAGAAGGAGACGTAGGATAAAAAGGAGGAGAAGAAGAAGAAGAAGAAGAAGAAGAAGAAGAAGAAGAAGAAGAAGAAGAAGAAGAAGAAGAAGAAGAAGAAGAAGAAGAAGAAGAATAAGAAGAAGAAGGAGGAGGAGGAGGAAGAGGATGAGAAGAAGAAGGATAAAAAAGAGAAGAAGAAGAAGAATAAAGAAAAAAGGAAGAAAAAAGAGGATGAGGGAGAGGAGGAGAAGAAGAAGGATAAAAAAGGAGATGAAGAAAAAGAAGAAATATAAGAAGCAGGAGGAGGAGGAGAAGAAGAAGAAGAAAAAGAAAAAGAAGAAGAAGAATAAGATTAAGAAGAAGAAGAGGAGGAGAAGGAGAAAGAAGAAGAAGAGGAATAAAAAGAAGAAGGATGAGGAGCAGAAGTTAAAAGAGGTAGAAAAATGAGACGGAGAATAAGACGCTAATTTATTTGTATTTTGCTTGTGTAAAATTGCAGGGAGCAGACATTCTGGTATTTCCAGAAGACGGCATATATGGTACACAGTTCACGCGAGAATCAGTCTACAACTTTCTAGAGCAGATCCCCAAACCATTGGCTTCAGCTTGGTCTCCATGTGGGGATCCAAGTCTTCATCAGAACACAGAAGTTCTCCATGATCTCAGCTGCATCGCCAGAAACAACTCCCTTTATCTGGTGGCTAACATGGGCGACAAGCAGCCATGCAACGTCAGAACAGATCCAAAATGTCCCAAAGATGGACGATATCAATACAACACAAACGTCGCATTCGATCCTAACGGCACGCTGGTTGCAAGGTATCACAAATACCATTTATTCTTCGAGGAGCAGTTCGATACGCCCAATGCTGAAGTCGTTTACTTTGATACGCCATTTGGAAGATTTGGATTAATGGTCTGTTTCGATGTGCTTTTTTCCGAACCTGGCTTGTCCATAGTATTAAAACACCATATCGCCAACATAGTTTTTCCAACAGCTTGGATGGATGCCCTTCCTCTTCTTTCTGCTGTGGGATTTCATTCTTCGTTTGCCAGAGCTTTGGGTGTTAATTTCTTGGCCGCGAATTTTCACGCCCCAGAGCGTCGCATGCACGGAAGTGGAGTGTATAGTCCAGATGGCATGAAAACTTTCTACTATGGTTCTTCAGCTGAAAGTCCTCCCGAACTTCTTGTAGCAGAGCTAGACACTCTTTCGGAACCAAAACCCAATATTAATATCTCAGCATACGATAGTTATCAAAAACTATTGGAACCAAATTGTCTTGGGTTTAAGAACGATGATGTGGTCAAGCTTTCTTCTGAAGAATTTATTTCGGAACTTTTCCACGATATGTTTACTTTCAGACAACTACAAGGAGGCAGTGGTAGGTTGAGAGTTTGTCAAAACAGCATATGTTGTAATCTCAACTTCTCTTTAGATGGGGACCGTCCTGGTAGTGACCTTTTCGCATTTGGCGCCTTCGACGGACTTCACACATACGAAGGCCAGTACTACTTCCAGATTTGTGCCCTGGTTAAATGCGCTGACGTTACTGACAGAAAGACCTGTGGAACTGTAACTGATACATCTACCACTAAGTTTGTCAACATCAGTATCACAGCAGAGATGTCCACTCCTTTCATATACCCCCAACTTGTCTTATCTGACGGCAAAGGAGAGCTTTTGTTAGCCAACTCAACCACCTGGGGGTTCAAAGACGCCACGTTGTGGACAAACAATCAGCCAGAGGGAGCCATCCTTTCCGCTGCACTGTTTGGTAGATATTATCAAAGGGACAACTGCCCAAGTGAGGGTCCGAATATCTTTATTTCCTACCTGCAGACCGTTTTTTCTCTTATAAGTGCAGCCGTTGCAGCATACATCTTCCCGATATTTTGACCTCATCCGTATTGCGAGTTTATGCAGTTCTGTGGAGTAGAGGCTAGTGAAAGCGTTTCAGAATTTCATGACCCTAGACTTTCCAATGTTTTGACCTCATCCGTATTGCGAGTTTATGCAGTTTTGTGGAGTAGGGGCTAATGAAAGCGTTTCAGAATTTCATGACCCTAGACTTTCAATGTCCGATATCAGCGGGGGATGGTTTATGTTTTTTTTTTTTAAACCGGTTTTTGTGTCCCTCAGACAACAGTGGTACGAAGAGTGACAGAGTTCACCAGGCTAGGTTCTCACATCTGCAACCACGTGAGACGGTACACATTGTTATATTCTATACTACAAATATACATGTGTTCTAGAGGATCCGTGTGCACCAAGGATATTGTGTTAAGTGTATACATCTGAAGATAACCCGTTCACTATTGGTGATATGGTCATTACCACTCACTCACTCACTCACTCACTCACTCACTCACTCACTCACTCACTCACTCACTCACTCACTCACTCACTCACTCACTCACTCACTCACTCACTCACTCACTCACTCACTCACTCACTCACTCACTCACTCACTCACTCACTCACTCACTCACTCACTCACTCACCCCCAACTCACTCACTCACCCCTCACTTCCTCATTCACTCACTCGCTCATTCACTCACTCACTCACTCACTTACACATCCTTTACACACTCACTTTTCTCTCACTCACTCACTCATAATTATATCCCCGATACGCCCTATGGGTCAGAAAATTGTTATACTACCACACTTAGGTTAGTTGCGTGTCCTTTACAGGACGTTGCAGAACCAACCCCAACAGCCCCTGGCTGTTGTTTGGTTTTTCTAGATACATTTACGTCCAGTAGTTTGCCATTGCTTCTGAACGGTCAGCTTTCTTGATACCACTGTCGAAGGCAACGCAAGTCACATGGCCCGCAGCTGGGATAGAACCCGACAGCCCGGCATTACGAAGCGTTCGCATCGACTTAGCCACAGACCCGACACTACCACACTTACTTTACTGAATTCGTATGAATATTCATATTTACCTCTACCGCCACCATCATCATCACCACCACCATCATTATCACCATCAGCATCATACTGCTTCGCGGTTTATGGGTCACGCCGGGCTTGTCGTAATGTGTATATTGTTTAAATAAATGGCGTTACCCGGATTCGCTTGAATTTGTCTCCTTTAAAGAAGAAGAAAGTGGTGGGGTGGGGGGTTAGACGAGTAGGAATCGGTGGAGAAGGAAGAAAAGAAGGGAGAAGAAGAAGCATCTGCAGCGCTCAAGTTTACAATAAAGCAAGAAGTTCAATTTTCCACGACTGCAAATTTTCTGTGCATATAGCTCTTGACCTATATTTTATAGACAATGATCACTCGGTGGGCGATGCAGTCAGTATCACGCCGGCGGCTTTTACTTCCAAGGACTCCTGGCATCCTTTAATGCTGGGTCTGCCCAGGAATCAACGTCTTTTTGGGAGAAAAAAAAGTACAGCTCCGTTCGGATTTAAGCCCATGATCTTCAGATCAACAGGTCAACATCTAACCGCTACGCCACATTTAAATATTTTTCTGCATGTTTCAATGTTATCTCATCAGTTGTTTTACTACAGAGTTAACACCCGCTTAAGGACCAAACATGATGTATCTTAACATAAATTCTCAAATAGAGACATCTCTTGTTACAATGTAATCTCAAAACGGAAGTCTGAGTTTTAACTCCCTGATCACCACAGAAGTCTAAGATTAACCCATTAATCATCCATTTATTTTATTTTAAATTATTATTTTGTTTTTATTATATTCTGATGTAAACTCTGCAGTAATACACCGATAGTTTTTTTCTAGTGTTACGCAATACCGGCACCTTTTTTTTATATATCATTTTTAAAACCATCGAAGCAGAACCTTAAACAGTACCTCTCTCGACACCCGAAGCAGTCAAAGAAGAAGAAGAAGAAGAAGAAGAAGAAGAAGAAGAAGAAGAAGAAGAAGAAGAAGAAGAAGAAGAAGAAGAAGAAGAAGAAGAAGAAGAAAAACTAGAAGACGAAGAAGAAGAAGAACAAGAAGACGAACAAGAAGAAGAACAAGAAAAAGAAGAATAATGCGGCTGACACCTTTTTTTTTCTAGGGATAAACACACACATCGAATGAACCAGGATTGGTACAACAGAATATACTAAGCAAATTAGTTGTTTAATACTGTATATTGTTCATGTACACATTATTTGAATCAGTGTTTCCAAAACTTGTTTGGCACTCAGCCTTCTTTGCAGTGGGGAAAAAATCGCCCAGCACCCCTTCCGCCTCCACCAATTCTCCCTGGCAATATCATCATGTGCCACGCCGAAAAGCGTAGGCGGTCATCACTGGTCATCCTACACGATCAGCAGAATCACGAATACGTTGTGCTCCTGTCACACCCTATGCATGTGGCAAGCGATCAATGTATTTATCTTTTTGCTTTCCCTTTCTCCTCTTATTATCAGTTTTGCTAGATGTCCTTAATTTCTCGAGTTTGTTCCTTGAACTGAAATAACCTTCTGTCATCAAACAGAACGAAGCATGTAATGCCAATGTGGTTTTATATCGTCTCTCTTTCCTCGCCTTACAACATGCTCTGGTCCGTAATTTGTGTAGTCTTCTTTCCAGTTTAACTTTATAGACTGTTTTAAGAGTGCCTCTGGGGTTTAAAACTCATGAGACAGACATCAACAGGTTTCATGTGGCCTTCGTGAGCTTTGCCTTTCCGTTTCTGTGGATCCATAGTAGTCTAGAGTTCCTTCTGTTCTTGTGAGCAGCATTCTGATTGTTTTCTTCAAAGTTGATTCTGTACTCTTTAGAGCGTGAAATGGCCTGTAGGACTGATTTTGAGTATGTGAATATGATAGCTTCCTATTATGTTGAAGTGGTGTATCGGAAGTCTGCTGAATTAAAATAAGGATGGCTGTCCCTGCTGTGGAGTTAGTGCCAGCTTTTGATACCGATATTCAGTGTGTCTGTGTCACAGTATGTGTGTGTAATGTAAATTCTAACACTTTTTGTGGCCTTTGTACCAAAACCGACTGTAAACATTGGTGTCCAGATATTGGAGAGATGTTGATTTCTGAGTATATATTGTTCTGGTGCCAGGGCTTCACATATAACTATGTCAGTTTCTATATTTGCATGTGTGTCAAAGTGTCCCTTGCAACGATTTATACTTTTTCTTTAAAGTTCCTTTTTCTTAAACTTTTTCTTGATAGTTCCTTCTTCTTAAACTTTTTCTTGATAGCTCCTTCTTCTTAAACTTTTTCTTGATAGTTCCTTTTTCTTAAACTTTTTCTTGATAGTTCCTTCTTCTTAAACTTTTTCTTGATAGTTCCTTCTTCTTAAACTTTTTCTTGATAGTTCCTTCTTCTTAAACTTTTTCTTAATAGTTCCTTCTTCTTAAACTTTTTCTTGATAGTTCCTTCTTCTTAAACTTTTTCTTGATAGTTCCTTCTTCTTAAAATCTATGGTTCGGCACATGGTTTGGATGCCTTTTAAACTTTTCAAGCTAAATGATGGATTTGCACCCAAACGAAAAGTGATTTTTAGTGATTTTCTAACAGTAAGAACATTATTTCTTTGTGTAAATGAAAGAAAATATCCTGCTCTAATGAGTTGTGTTCGTTTTAGTTTTAGACTGATATGACTGGGTTCACCGTATGACAGTGGTCGGTAGTATTGTCTTTGTTATCACAGAATGCTGGACGGCACAAAACAACCTGCCATCTCACATTATGCATGCGACTTCTGACGGAGAAATGCATAGGGTAGCTGACTAACCTTGCTTATGCGAGAACGAGGAAATGCAATCTGAAAACAGTTTTGATAGGGCAGACCGGGCCCATAATATTGTCTTGCAGCGGGTCTGTGAGGGATGCTTCGACAGGCGGACACACAGAACATTTCTTTTCTGACCCGGCAGCTTCTGCAGCTTGCTTCGCTTTAAACGTATTGGTGTCATCTTTTCTTTTGAGTAAACAAGACAAGCCAATCGAGGAAGCATGTCTCTACAAATAATAACTACGTTTTGTGCTCTTGGGACGATGAATTTCACCCCTTGCCTAGGGGTGCCCAGTGTGCCAAACGGGAAGCACTGCTATATGATTCAGAAACCAAGCTGTCAAGATAGTAACAAACAAACAAACAAACAAAAAACTGCTAAATACCAGCCTTGGCTCACAGTCTGTGGTAATGCTGACAGATGCAACATCCGTACTTGAAGCACTCCAGTCAGGGAAACAACTAGAGTTGCAAACACTGTTCACACAACTCAGCTGCCAGCGAAGAATCGCAATGCAATAAATACCGTCCCATTTTGAATAAAAATAAGAAGGCTGGTCAACTGGCAGGTCAAGGTGCGACAAAATAGCAGCTTTTTTTTTTTTTTTTTAAATATCCAGAAGCCATGAGTTGTTAACCCTTTGGCTCGGTACTATGGATATCGCAACCCTTCAGCCTTGATTCCATGATAGGTACCGTAAATCTGGGAGAAATGTAGCTTTTCTGCCTACCCCGGGAGTGAACCCAGACCACAATGAGTTTATCACCCGGTCACCGCGATGTCAGGTTTAACCAATAACGCTAGAGAGCTGGACAACAAAAGAGCAGCTGGATGTACCAGTTACACCCACCAAAAGAAGAGAATCATTAAATCGATCAGGACACGACCGGCTCCAGCTGATAGGTCATGCTGCTGACGTCACCGGGTCGGGCTAACGATGCATTAACGCAGCAAAACAAGAAATAAACTTTTTTCGACTTTGCCGAGGGAAGACAGCTTAAATTTAAACTTTTAAGTATCTACTTGCCCTTTTAAAATAATTTCCTAATTTTTTAGCCTACTTTTCTTGATTATTGCCGCGACACCCCTGGCATACGCTTACGGCACCCCTTGGTGCCTCGGCACCCAGTGTGAGAACCACTGCTCTACCGCATCGTTAGCCCAACCCAGTGACG